AGAACGACATTTTGAAAACGACCCGCCCTCAATCCGTGGAACGCTGGCTAATTATTCAAGCGAATGTGCGCTGCGCGAAGGCTGAGGCGAGAGCCATATTTTGAAAACGGCCCGCCTTCAACACGTGAAACTCTTGCAATGGTTTTTTGTTTAACGGATGTGCGCGGCGCTATGGCGAGAGCCACATGTTGAAATTGACCCGCCCTCCATCCGTGAAACTGTTGTCACTTTTTAAGCTTCAGAGTCATACATGGTGAGGAAGTCTCAGGCGAAACGCCCGGCCCGCCCTGAAAACTGGCTTCGGGGTGCGACAGGGAGGAGTTATCTATGAAGAAAAGGAAAGGAGGATGAGGAGGAGGAGGAGGAAGAGGAGGAGGAGGCGGAGGAGGAGGAGGAGGGGGAGGAGGGGGAGGGAGGAGGAGGAGGGGAGGAGAGGAGGAGGAGGAGGAGGGGAGGAGGAGGAGGAGGAGGAGGAGGAGGAGGAGGTGTGTGGCAACCTACGAGCAGATAGAGACAGGAAGACCTGGAGGTGTCCAGCGCGGATTCAAGCATACCGAGTGGCTCCGGGCACATCCCATTCAAAAGTTTGAAGAATCGATAAACCCAGTACGGAATTGGATACAAACGCTCTTCTGACGCACGTGCGGCACGTTCCAGCTGCTTGTCTGCAGCCGCTACCGTCTGCACCGTGCTGACGGTAGCGATGCACTTCCTGTTTATCTCCCTCCTGCTCCTCCTCCTGCTCCTCCTGCTCCTTCTCCTCCTCCTTTTCTCCTCCTGCTCCTCATCCTCCTCCTCTCCTCCTCCTCCTTCTCCTCCCCCTCCTCCTCCTCCTCCTCCTCTTTCTGTTCCGTCGCCTCGTCCTCCGCCTAATTACCCACTCCACCTCTTTCTCCTCCTCCTGCTCCTCTTTCTCCTCCTCCTCCTCATTCCTCTTCTGTCCTCTGTTCTCCTTCCCCCTCATCATTCCCCATATCCTAAGATGGGGTTCTTGTTATTACTTGGACGCCTCCTACTCCTACTCCTCCCTCCTCCTCTTTTCTCCTCCCCTCCTGTCGGACATACTCAGACTTGCTCATACACAGACTTATTCATACTCAGACTTACTCATACTCAGACCTACTCATACTCAGACTTACTCACACTCAGACATACTCATACACAGACTTACTCTTACACAGACTTACTCATACACAGATTTGGAGGATGTCTCGAGCGAGGCGCTCATTTCAGCACCCCTAAGGGGAGCCGCCAGGGGTGTTTGCACGGGCTCGTTCGCGGCCATTTTGTGGGGATGTCTCAGGCGGTTTGCCTGTTTCTGGGCCCAACATCCTTCGCTTTCGGAGCAGATTTGGAGGATGTCTCGAGCGAGGCGCTCATTTCAGCACCCCTAAGGGGAGCCGCCAGGGGTGGTTGCACGGGCTCGTTCGCGGCCATTTTGTGGGGATGTCTCAGGCGGTTTGCCTGTTTCTGTGCCCAACATCCTTCGCTTTCGGAGCAGATTTGGAGGATGTCTCGAGCGAGGCGCTCATTTCAGCACCCCTAAGGGGAGCCGCCAGGGGTGGTTGCACGGGCTCGTTCGCGGCCATTTTGTGGGGATGTCTCAGGCGGTTTGCCTGTTTCTGGCCCAACATCCTTCGCTTTCGGAGCAGATTTGGAGGATGTCTCGAGCGAGGCGCTCATTTCAGCACCCCTAAGGGGAGCCGCCAGGGGTGCTTGCACGGGCTCGTTCGCGGCCATTTTGTGGGGATGTCTCAGGCGGTTTGCTTGTTTCTGGGCCCAACATCCTTCGCTTTCGGAGCAGATTTGGAGGATGTCTCGAGCGAGGCGCTCATTTTCACTCCCCAGGTGGGCCAGATTTTGAGGATGTCTCGATCGGTTTGCTTGTTTTGGTGGCCAGGCTCGTGGGCGCAGATTCTTCTCAGGATGCCACAGGAGGCTCCAACAGGCTCCAGGAGGCCCCAGGAGACCACATGAGGTCCCAGGAGGCATCAGGAGGCCACATAAAAAAAAAAAAAAAAAAAAGACTCAAGATGCCACAGGATGTCCCAAGAGGCTCCAGGAGGCCCCAGGAAGCTCCAGAAGGCCTCAGGAAACCACAGGAGGCCCCAGGAGGCAACAGGAAGCGCCAGGAGGCCTCGGAAGGCAGCAGGAGGCCCCGAGAGGCCCCAGGAGCAGGAGGCCTCAGAAGGCAACAGGAGTGGCTCCAATCCATTGTGTTTTACGTATGCTCCTATCGATTGGGCCTCACCTGGAGCACGATTATTCGATGTTCTACGCATGTTTCTATAGATGGTCCTTCTCCTGTGTACACAATCCTAAATGTTTTACTCATGTTACTATGTATTGGGCCTCTCCTGGGGCACGAGTCCTTGGTGTTTTACGCGTGTTCCTATAGATTGCCCTTTCTCCTGTGGCTCTAATCCGCAATGTTTTATGTACGTCTGTTGCTATAGATTGCGCCTCTCCTGGGGCACGAAACCTTCCTAGGAGGTCCCAGGAGGTCCCAAGAGGCTCCTGGAGACCCCAGGAAGCCCCAGTAGGTTTCAGGAGGCCCCAGGAGGCCCCAGGCTCATGCACAGAGACGCGCTCGTACTACTGAGGCTCATTCACGCTCCAATTCATTCGCAGTTAGATTGATGTCCAGACCGTCACAACTGAAGCCCGTTAATATTCGAAAGCTCTTGCGCCTAGACATTCACGGCGGACAGGTCCATGCGAGTAGATGCACATATGGGGAGCTCCACGCAGTGAATAATTTGTTCTGCCTCCACATTCCTCTTCCTCCTCCTCCTCATCGTCGTCCCCCTCCTGACCGGCGACGCCTGCCACCTGTTAGGCACATGTTGGCCCCGCCCCTCAGCGCACGCGCGCGTTTTTGTTTCACATCTGACGACTGCTCCGCCCCCAAGTCCGGTCCTTCGCTTGTGGCCCCTTCTTGGCCCGAGACTCGTGGAGAAACGTGCCCAGCGCGCACCCCACTCCCACTCCACGCATGTTAAGCGGATAACGACTTCGTCCTTGCCACGTTGGGTCGCTCGCACGCGGCCGCGTCGTCGCCCGCGACACGTGACACGCACACGCCCCGTGCGCAAGCGCGTGGCGCATGCTGTGCCCTCCTCTGTTGGGCTCCCCGCCGCGCACGTAATTTTACATGCAAAAAGGCTCGCCGGCCCCAAGTTGGGTTCCCTGGGTCCCGTGGACACGTGAGCACCCGCGCGCACGCGACAGGCGCAGGTTGGCCCTCCCCTCCGCGCACGCATGTTTGGCAGGTGGAATGCTCGGCACCCCCAGGTTAGGCCCCTCGCTTGCGACCCCGTCGTGGCCCGACGCACGTGAAGACACGTGCACCGCTCGCACGCGACAGGCGCATGTGGGGGGGGGGTCACATCCGTGCCCCCCCCCCTCCGCGCACGGATTTGCCACCCCCGAGCTGGGTCCCCGTTGGGGCCCAGTGGACACGTGAACAGACGTGCTCCGCGCGCACGCGCCTGGCGCACGCTGCCCCCCTCATTCCGCGCACGCGTTTCTCCGCGTCTAAGGAGTAGCCGCCCGCAAGCTGCGTCCCTCGCTTACGGCCCCATCCCATCGCGGCCCGAAACGCGTGAAAACCACAAGCTCCACGCGCACGCGCCAGGCGCATGCAGGGTCCCCCCTGGGTTGCCCCCCCCCCACCCTCCCCCCGCTCTCCGCGCAGAAGTTTAACGTGTGAAGAACTCGCCACTCCCAAGTAAGCCCCCTGGGGCCCCGCGGACACGTGTAAACATGTGCCCCGCGCGCACGCGCCAGGGGCATGTTGCCCCCCCCTCCGCGCGCGTATTTTTTGCGTGTAACAGAGTTCGCCACCTGCAAGTTCTGTCCCTCGATTGCGACCCCGTCGTGGCCTGAAACACGTTCCAACACGTGCGCCGCGCGCACTCGCCAGGCGCATGTCGGGCTCCCCCTCCGTTAGGCCCCCCCCCCCCGCCGCGCACGCACTTTTTCGCGCAGAGAGTTTGCCACCCTCGAGTTGGATTCCCATGGGGCTCCGTGGACGCGTGTAACAACACACGCCCCGCGCGCACAAACGCCAGGGGCAAGTTGGGCTCCTCCGCCTTCGCGCCCGCATCTTCATGGGCAAAATAGTTCGCCACCTGCAAAATAGTTCGCCACCTGCAGGGTGGGTCCCTCGCGTGCGACCCCGTCGTGGACCCGAATGCACGTGAAAGCACACGCCCTGGGCGCACTCGTCGGGGCGCATGCTGGGCCTTCCCCCCTCCGTTGAGCCCCCCCTCCGCGCACGTATTTTTTTCGAGCTGGAGAATTGCCGCCCCCAGGTTGGATCCCCCTGGGGCCCCGTGGGCATGCGAAAATAACACGTGCCCTGCGCGCACGCCCCAGGGACATGTTGGGCCCCCCCTCCTCTGCGCACATAGTTCAACGTCTAAAGAATTCGCCGCTTGCTAGTTGGGTCCCTCGCTTGCGGCTCCGTGCGCGTACTTTTCACGTGCCCAATGTCAAAGCCTGTTGCTCGACAGCCTCCTGGTACGTACCGGGCCGTTGGCCCGCAAACTAACAAGAGAACCATGCGCTGGAGCCCTCATCGGGAAAATGAGCCTGTGGGAGGCACCGGCCTCGTGGGGACTCGTGGAGGCCCGCTGCGAGCCACCCGTGGGGCCTTTGGGGGGAGCTCCCGAGGTGGTGTCCTGGGTGCTTCTTGGAGGCCTGCTGGCGGTCTCGGGGGCCATCTTGGGGTGAAGGGCTCTCAATGGCAGTCCAGGCTCTCCTCCTCCTCCTCCTCTTCCCCCTCCTCCTCCCCCTCCTGCTCCTCCTGTTCCTCCTCATCCTCCTCCTCCTCCTCTTCCCTCCTCCTCCTCCTCCTCCTCCTCCTCCTCCTCCTCCTCCTCCTCCTTTTCCTCCTCCCCCTCCCACTCCTCCTCCTCCTCTGATTCAAGAGGCGTTTGCCAATCCGCCGACACCCCAATCAGTAAACTCGCAAACATTCACCGGGAGTCTCGGGGATGCAGACCAGGGCGGGCGCCATGTCTCGCTCATCGCTTGGCAAGAAAAGTTGAAGTTGCTACCACCTCGCGCCCAATGACATCCAGGTGGAGGCGATACAGCAGCATCGCGCGGAGATGGAACGCCGTGTAGGCAGGAGCTTGATTGGGTGGTCTGGCATGCTTCTGTCGGCCGTGTTCCTGGCCATGCCGAGGTTGCGGGTGTCTGTGCCCTGGGCGAACCTGATTGTGGGCTGCGCGATCTGTGCAGCACTGGGCTGGTTGGGTACGCGAAGGGAAGGTGCCTCGGACATTGTCGAATAGTGCAAGCGACGCGTGGAGTTGCGCGAAGTAAATGGAACATTGGGGAGGATAACGAGGAGGCGACGCAGAGACGTTTAAAGACTGACGAGGACAGCGAGCAGGAGACAGACGAGGAGGGAGTGAGGAGGAGGAGGAGGAGGAGGAGGAGGAGGAGGAGGAGTAGGAGAAGGAATGCGAGCAGAAAAGGCTGAGGAGGAGGAGGAGGGCAGTTAGAGTGGAAGTAGTTTGGGGCATGGCGCAGCGTCGCAGGACGTCTCGTGGAGAAGATGGGAGCTTCTACGGAAGAGATAGGAGACGTGAATACGAGGATTACGAATAGGACAAGCCAGAAGAGGAGATGGAGAGAAAGAGGGGATCTAAATTTTGGTGGGGACGAGTATGGTGAGGAGGACATGCACAATGAAGAGGATGATGGGCAGCAGAGAGGGGAGTGGAAAATTGATATTGAAAATGAGGAGGATGAGCCAGTGGGATAACTAACGCTTGTTAGGGCCTCTGGGGACGCCATAGAGCCCTATGGAAAGCTTCTTGGAAGCGCCTCTGAGGCCTCTGGGGGGCTCTTGGGCCCATCGTGGGTGGAAGCGCTCGGAATGTCAGCTCGTGCTTGCTCACCCTCTTGGACCTTTCGTGAAGTCCTCTTGGGGCTCTCTTGGGCCATCTTGAGGGCCCTTGGGGCCGTCCTGGGGGGTCTCTTGGGGTCCTCCTGGGTCGTGTTTGATCATGATTGGTCGTATTTGATTGTCTTTGGGGGCATCATAGGCCGTCTTGCGAAGATCTTGGGGGCCCCTTGGGTCTTCTTGGACACCGTGAAGTCTTTGAAAAGACATAGTTAGAGACACATATGTATATACATAGGTATGTGTACATATATATATATACACACATATATATATATATATGCATATATGTAAATGTATGTATGCACACATCTATATTCATATATGTACATATGCGTTTTCCTCAAGGAATGTAATGAAGTTTGGCCCTTGGAGCTCTCTCGGCGGTCCTCTGGGAGCACTTTTGGGCTGTCGTGGGGGCCATGGGGGCCGTCTCGAAGCCATCTGGGACCGCCGTGGGGCTACCTTGGGCCATCGCGACGCTTATGTGGACTGTCTTGGTGCCTTGTTTGGGCGGCGTTGGGGCTTTGGAGAAGTTCCGGAGGCGACAGGGATGCGTTTGGAAGCTCTAGCCCCCACCCAAACCCCTCTGGCACCTCCCCGCGAACGCGAATTGGAGCTCAACGGGGGGGGGGGGGACGGGGAGGGGGACAGCCAATCATCTCACACGCCTGTGTACCTCCAGCGAGCGGGGGTGTGCGGATGTGGGGCCCCGTGTTAGGCCGTCGTGGGGGCCTTTCGGGGGGGCCCCTAAACAGATGTCCCGGGGGGGACTGGCAGCGCCCTGCTTGACGTCACAACATATTGTAGCCTATTTGACAGGATGAGGACCCTGCCTCCTCTACATCCCATCCAATACAGCCACACTGTCTGCGATGTACGATGCGACATGACCACGTTGCGATGTACGATGCGACTTGTTAGCGGAGCTGGCCACACTCTCGTGCGGTTCGCTTTCACATTTGGTTTCAACTTATTCTTCGACGGCACGCCCCTAGCGGACTTGCTGGTGCTCCTTACTATGAGCCCATGCTCCATCCGCGACTCCGTGGATCTATCTGAGCTTGGAAACAAGCCTGACACAACAGAGCCGGCCCGAGAGGATGTTACACACGTTCACCAGTGGAGTACTTCAACCCGGAAGGCTTAACATGTTTTCAATGGCCACATCCGTCAAGCCAGCGGGACTTGCTTATTTTTCGACTAAGGACTTGGGCAACTCCCTACTGCGCAAGAGTGGGATGACGCCGTGCGGAATCGTGCTGAGCTTTCAGCCACGACCTGACCAAGTCCACTGACACAGATGTGTCGCGCAGAACTGTGCCTGCGCAACACTCCGGAAAGTTTCTGCATGATGGGACAAGTTGTCTACACTATCAAGTGGCACAGAATCGGACCCGCTATTGGATACATGCACCGAGTGAGAGGAAATGATAATTCCCCTCCCCGCTATGGGGACCCTGCCGGGATTGGCTTGTACTGACAGGTTCGCGCATGACCCCACAATGACAAGCAGACGCCCTCAAGCGAGGGTTTGGTGGTCTTGCGCTCAAGATCGCCATGCGCGCCCCTCGGGGCATCATCAACTTATACGAAGCACCTACACCGACCCAGTAACCCACATCATGTTTATTAAGAATGTGCATTTCGAGCATCTTGGGCATAAGCGACAGCTCACCTCAGGCACCCAGCTGATCGACTTCCTTGTGCCAAACAGCGAGCGCATGGATGAAACATGTTATGAGTGGGTTCGAAATTGCACAACTTGAACACAATCAGCAGTATTCGACATACTGCCAATTTCTACCCGCTGTCCCATTCCGTCCCATGGGGGTCGGCATTCAGAGGGCCATGCAGCTATTGTCAAAACTCCGCCAGATGCCACGCACCCAACCATAATTCAAAACACTACTCGAGCTAATGGGGCGATCGAAGTCGTAGTAGTCTGCGGTGAAGGACCACGCTGGCTGAGCGAACAGCGACGGGTGCCCCGCAGAGCTGTCGAATGGAATGGCGGCTTCGTCGAAGATGTGAGCCCTTGCCCTTGCAGCAGGACAAAAATCCTACTCGGACGGCTTGTGCCGAGGTGTGCTGAAGGCTTGCAAGCGAAGGCAAGCTGGCTCGCGGGCCAGCCGCCGGGGGAGCCGTTATCGTCGCTCCGTGGCGCCATCGCGCCGCTGCGCGCGTGCGGCTCCCGTACCAGCGGCGAGGGCCGTGTGCGGCCAGCGCGCGGCCGAGAAATGGGGCGTGCGCCTCTCTTGCCGTGCGCGTGCCTCCAATCAGCCTCACATTCACTTAAAGGATCCGACTTGAAGAAGGAACACTTACTTGTCACAAGGGGCTCGGTCGTTCCTTGGGTTTGCATGCGTTCCGCTACCTTTTTGGCGGCGGTCTCCCCTGGTGTTCCTTCGGACTTCGTAGACTTACTTGGAAAAAATGGGGCTTCGTTCCTTATTTATCGTTCCGTAGGTCAGGCCGAATACTGTAGCGGTACGTTGCAAGCATTGGCGTGTAAAGTCATGAATTGAACACCCGCCGACAATCGCAGACACGAGAACCCTGACCTGGGAAAGCCGGGCAAGGGATACGCTTGTTTGTCGGAATGTAGGGGTTATACGGCACATTTCTGGCTGATATGTGGGAAGGTCCAGGAGGAGAAGGGGTTCGAGAGCAGCAGGATGAGGGGTCTCGCACGGAGGAGCGGGAGGGGACGGCGATGAGGGAACGTGGCAGAAGTAGCACCAGAAACACGGCCTGTTGCCCACCTGGGCCGCCGATGGGCTGGCCTCCTGCGCTCCCTCGGTATACCTGTCTCGATTCGTGATTGTGTTGCCCACCGGATTTGGAGGGAACAAGAACGAGGGGGAAACAAGACAAGGAGGACGAGGGATGAAGAGGAAGGAGGAGGAGGATGAGGAGGAGGAGGGGAAGGAACACGCGTATGGTTCTGGACCTGCTTGGGATCCCGGAAGCCTGCGGGGACTCCCCAGGATGTCGACGGGCTCCCGCAGACTCCCAGAGGGAGGCATTGCGCTTCTTCGTTGGCGTGCCTTCTGGCGGCGCCGAGTTCATCCGCCGCCCCCTTGGCCGCCCCCCCCCTTCTCTTGCACCAGCCCCTTTCTGCTGGACCCCCTTGTGGAGGACGATCAATGAGGAGGAACCATGTTGCCAAATAATTTCCAGATATCTAAAACATGCGTTAACCATGTTTTAAGCATGTAAAACATGTTTCAAACATGTTCCCCGTGCCGGGCGTGCCTGCGTGCCCTTGCGTTCCTCGGGGTGCAGTCGGAAGTGCGCGGTGCGCGACTCGCGGGTGCTCCCATGCCGGCCTTAGGGCGTCCGCGCGCGGCAATCCAATGTTTTTCCTGCGCGGCCGCGCCAAGCTGCGCCCCCCCCTCTCGCAACAGGGATCCCGGCCCGTTCGTGGACTTGGTCGTCGTGGTCACAAGGCGCCCTGGGGTCGGACAGAGGGTTGCCGAGGGACAGCGGACGTAGGCAGAGAGAGAGGGAGGGAGAGAGAAAGAGAGAGAGAGAGAGAGAGCCCTCCCCCAGCCCTTGCCACTCTTGCTTATCCTGCTCGCCGTCTTCTGGCACCTTTACCATGCACCGAAGGCCCCCTTTCATGTTGGCACACCCGTCACACGGTTCGTGGCCCCATAGGGAGCTCTACCGATTACCCCAGTGGCATGGTTCGCATGCCGCCACCCCTTTCTTTCATGTCGGCACACCCCTCACATTTTTCGTGGCAGCGGCATGAACTGCACGCCGCCCCCGTCCACATTGGCACACCCCGCATGCGTTTCGTGGCACCATAGGGAGCTCCACCGAAGGCCCCAACGGCAGCGCCCGCATGGCGGCCCCACCCCGTTGCCTCGCACCTCTTGCGCGCTTCGTGCCCATAGGGGTCTCCAACGGATGCAGGTCTCACATCGGCGGTATCCATGACTGCATGTGGTTGGGTCCTCGGTTCGGATGATTGAATGTTGTGTTATGTTGTCCGCCTTGGTTCGCCGACGCTCCCAATAAGCCCCAGCAGCACCCAATATCTTCCCAAGGTCTGTTCCAGAGGCCCTCAAGAGGGCGCCCACATTGCCCAAGAGAACCCAAAGACGCCCCAGTACACCTCCAGGACAGCCCACAGAGGCACCGAATCGCAAATCAAACATCCAAGAAACTCACTCCGACACTCCACGACAGCCCCTCATGCCCGAAAATTCGCCCCACGGGCCCCAAGGAGGCGCTGGGAAGGCCCCAGGAGATCCCCGAGACGGCCCAAGAGGCCTCCCAGATGGCGCAAGAGGGCCCCAAGAATGCCCCCAGAGGGGAACGGAAACCGAAGCGTCAAGTTTTCCGCCCCGACGTGCTCTCAGGCAGCTCAAACAGACCTCCAAAGAGGCCCCCAACAGGTCGCAAGGGGTGCTCAAGAGGCGCCCCAGTCGGGCCCAGGCGACCCCGAACAGGTCCCCCAAAGGCTCCGGAGGGCGGGAGAACGGCGGCAGGGTATGTATATACAGGCGTATGCTTGTCAAGGGCTTGGGACTGCTGGGACCTAAGCTCGCGCGAAGCGCGCGACTGGTTCTAGCATGCATGCGCGTATAGATACATAAATGGGCAGGGGGTCCCGGGGCCCCCAAAGTGCACTGGTTTGTCTTCCGCCCGTTTCGGGCCCGACGGGGAGCGCCACAAAATGTCAAGATGGGCCCAGAGACGTCCAAGAGGGCGCCAAGATGGCCCAAGAGCGCTCCAAAGAGAGCGTCCAAAGACCGCACAAGAGCGTTTCAAACTTTGTCCAACATGGCTTGAATACAGCCCAAGAGTGCTTAAAGACGGCCAGTATGCCTTCAAAAGAATTCCCACGATGCACCCGGGTGGCGGAACAAGAAGGTTTTCCGAGGGTGTTTGAAGGTTTTTCGTGTTCTCGCTGTTTCGTGCTTCCGACGGTCCAAGACAGCCCACGAGGCCCCAGACACCAGCTCAAGACGGCCCAAAGGCACCCAAAGAGGGCGCCACGACGTCGCAAGAGAGTCCCAAAACGGGCCAAGAGCGTCCCAAAACGGCCCAAGAGGCGCCCTAGGTCGCCCAAGAGGGCCTCAAGACGGCCCCAAGAGGGGCCCTAGAGGGGGAACACGAACTGACAATTCGAGACTTCCGCCCCAAGAGGCCTCCAGGAGGCCCCAAGAGGTCCCCAACATAGCCCAAGAGGCCCGCTTAGAGAGGAGGAGGAATGAGGAAGAGGCAGGAGGAAAACCATAATGTTGACCTCAGTTTTTCAGGACCTCCTTGTTGTCTCAATGCGGTCAGCACTCTACCAGCTAGAACTTAAGCGCGCGCGAAACGCGCGTGATTGTTCTAGTATATCTATCTATACGACCGCCCTGCGGGCGATAAGGAGGTTGGGGGGGATTGAGATCAAGTGCCCACCCTGACTGACCTCCAGCCTGTCACCTTGATATCATCGCTCTGTTTCTCTCTGCCTCTCTCTCTCTCTTTCTGTCTCTCTCTCTCTCTATCTCTCCCTCTCCCTCCCTCTCCCTCTCTATCAGAGTCCCTCCACCTCAATAGTGATCGCGATGACGATAAGATCCCACTATTTTCCTATCCGTCGACCGACCTATCGGTGAATCCCACTGTCGATCTCACTATCAACCTCAAGAGCAACATGAGAAAGCCCGCCGCAGGCGCCGAAACACGATTTGTTGTCGGACAGCGACAGGACAACCATCGGCACAACCACCAGACAACCATCAGGACAATCACAAGACAACCATGAGACAACCATCGCATATTATATAAGATGTATTGGATGGGATAAGATGGAATGGATAAGATAAGATGGATCGGATTGGAAACTATTGATTGGATTGGCCCGCCGCATGCGCAGAAACAAATGAATTCTTCACGCTTCGCGTATCCCCACCAGCCCATCTCAAAACAGCAACTCTTGCGAAACATGAGGCCTCGTGGTGCCTCCTGGGGACCTCTTGTGGGCCATCTGGGGAACTCTAGGGGCCATCTGGTGGACCTCTGGGGGCCATCGTGGGGGGCTTGTATGAGCGCTGCCCGTCCTCCTGGTGTGACTCGTTCGGGCTCCGCGTGGTGTGAGTCGTTCGAGGCCCGCGTCGTGGTGTGAGTCGTTCGGGCTCCTCATGGTGTGAGTCGTTCGGGCGGCTCGTCCTGGTGTGAGTCGTTCGGGCCCCTCCTTGTGGTGTGAGTCGTTCGGGCTCTTCGTGGTGTGAGTCGTTCGGGCCCCTCGTCCTGGTGTGAGTCGTTCGGGCTCCTCGTGGGGCCTCTTGGGGGCCTCTTGGAGCCTCTTGGGGCCTCTTGGGGGCCTCTTGGGGGCCTCTTGGGGGCCTCTTGGGGCCTCTTGGGGCCTCTTGGGGGGGGCCCCTTGGGGGCCTCTTGGGGGCCTCTTGGGGCCTCTTGGGGGCCTCTTGGGGGCCTCTTGGAGGCCTCTTGGGAGCCTCCTGGGGGCCTCTTGGGGCCATCTTGGGGCCTCTGGCGATCTCTTCAGAAGCGCAAATGAGCGCTGCCCCTTGAGAAGGACAAAATGAGCCCAAAACCGTCGTAAAATCAATGATTTTGCTATGAAGGAAGAGGAGCGCGGCCCCCTTCAGAAGGCCAAAATGGGGCAGAAACCGTAGTAAAATCAATGATTTTGGGTTCAAAGAAGAGGAGAGGGTTTTTTCTCGTTCCCCCCGTCGGGGGCAGAATTCTCGTGAGGGGTGTCGTTTTTTGTGGGCCTCCAAGGAGTCGAAATGGACCCCCCTGACGACCCGCGGGGCTCCCTCTCCAGGCCCAGGGGGAGGGGGTAGGGGCAGGGGTAAACCCCTCCCCGAAGGGAAAGAAGGGGGGCGGGCTCTCTAAACCACTCACGCCCAAAGGGCTGGTGGGATTTCTGTCAGTACCCCCGTCGGGGCCACGATCGTCGTGAGGGGTGTCGAATTTTAGCTCTCCCAGGGATAGACAAAGGACCCTCTGACGATCCGCGGAAGGCCCCTTCCAGGCCCAGGGGGAGGGGGTAGGGGGAGGGGTCAACCCCTCGCCGAAGGGGAAGAAGGGGGGTTGAGAACAGAGCGGACTCCCGAAACCACTCACGCTCAAAGGGCTGGTGGGATTTCGTTTTTCGGGGTTTCAGTGCGCACTTGTCCGGTGGAGTTCCAGTGTCACAGAAGATGCCTCTGTAGCTTCCTCGTCGTCAAGACGCTTCGAATGCTCTGTAGTTTCCTCGTAGCCTCCTTTCCATGCTTCTGTAGCTTCCACGCACTCCTGCGTCGCCGAGTTTCTTCTTGCAGCGTCCTTGTCGTGTCGCGGGGTGCGTTTGTGTCACTTCGGTGTTGCTGCGCCTTGAGACGTGTCTCTGCAGTTTCTTCGTCTCATCGGGGACTCCAGCGTCACCGAATTTGTTCCCGTATTGTGCTTGTCGTTCCAGGTCGTGCGTACGCGCGCAGAATGTTTCTCTGCAGCGTCCTCGTCGCATCAGGATCTCCAGCGTCACAGAATGTATCCTTGTAGCGCCTCTTCTTCCAGGGCGGCGTGGTCCTGAGTCGCCGCGGGCGACTCGCCGCGGACGGTTCCATTCGATTCCACGGGCGATCGTGCGCATGTAGTTTGCCACGCGCCTGCGCGCGCGCGGAGAGGGCCTGGGCGCCCTGTCGCCTGCGGGCGACCGCGCGGGTTACTCCCCGCAAAAGCCAAAAAGGGCATTTCCACACGCCAGGTAAAGCCTAAAAGGGCTTTCGTCTGCCTGATCCTTGCCCCCCGCTTTCCTCCTTCTTCTTTCATCGAAGTCAGAACCCCCGCCCCCTATGACGTCCTCCGCTGGCCTGGGTGGTCTACTCAGGTCGCGGGGGGGGATAGGGGGGGGGTCGTTGCCACGGCTGGTGCCTCGTTTTCATGACGGGGAGGGGGGGGGTGCACCGTTCCCTCGGATGGGCACATCCCCCCCTCCAAGGGCCTCCGAGCCCTCCCTCTCCGTCCTTTTCTTCTCCCTGATCCTTCCCTCCCTCGCGGTTTTCGAAGCCTTTGGCGTCTCCGCCCACCACCCTTGGGAGTATCCTAATGGCCTCCGGCCCACCCCGCCACCGTGCCGTGCCGGTGGGCAAGAGGCGCGTGGAGTAGACGAGATGGTTCAAGGGGGAGCCAGTGGCTTCAATCGGGCGTTGTGGAGCGCACGCGCGTAGTTGGGTTCTGCAGGGTTTCCCTGGGGGTTGTTTTTTTGTCAGTGTATGCATAGGGGGAAATGTTGTCGAATTTGGGACGTATTGTTCTCTCTTTTTGTATGCGTCTGGGTCCCGAACGACTCACACGAGGACGAGGGGCCCGAACGACTCACACCGCGAGGAGCCCGAACGACTCACACACAAGGAGGGGCCCGAACGACTCACACCAGGACGAGGGCATCCCGAACGACTCACACCACGAGAAGCCCGAACGACTCACACGCAAGGGG